GGGGGGGGGGGGGGGGGGCAAGTTTTATAAAGTAATACTTACACTGAATGGTTCTTTGTTTGCAGATACTGACACTAATTTTGACTTTTCAAATAACTGAATCTACACAAGAAGTCACACGGCCCTCACAGCCAGAAAGCAGCCGCCTGGACGCGCTGACATGGAGACCAGGCAGAGCGGGTAGAGGCCTAAGTGACAGGCAGCCGCCTGCTATTTATAGACTAGACACCCCGTCCTCCCTGCCTGCTCTGTCAGGTCAAACCGAGCCCCAGCAAAGGCCCGCCATCCGTCCGCAGCCACCGTCTCATGGCCCCATGTGCTTGCTCTATGGGGAGGGCTTCTGTGGCCTTAACAAAGCCCTGAATTACTCGTTACACACGGCCAACAGCCTGGCAGACAATCCTTACATCTCACCAAGTCCTAAACCGCACACTGAGCGGAGGGCGGCCGTCACTTACCGGGGTCCCGGCGCTCACGTAGCTCAGCAGCTTCTGGCGCATCTCCTTCTCCCTGAACCTCGCGCTCCTCTTGACGTAGATGCCTCCGTGCTGCCAACAGGCCAGAGAGCGTTACTGTCATAGCACCAGTGGCCGGCACCAGACAGGCCGGCAGGAAACTCCTAAATACGCTCAAACATTCCCATCTAAAGGACATTAGTTGAAATTCTCCTATGATGCAACATAATTCAAATAAAACTGCATATTGCAAAGTACATTATTGCTTAGTTTTGTTGGCAGTTAAAATAAAAATGCTTTATTTTTAAAAAATGCATTTTTAAGATAAAAAACTCGATCTCAGATGCATCTTAGTTCTCAATTTTTCCACTAATTGTGAAATCACTACCAAGTGTCCTTAAAATGTCCACATTTATGGTCTTTTGGGTGTCAGAAACTAGCCCGACTAAGATATGTCCACAGCACTGCTGCCGCCGAAACCGTGTCCCCACATTCCTGTGTCGAAGGCCCGCCCTGCGAGGTGACAGTGTTTGGGATGGGCCTCCAGGGAGAGATGCAGGTCCTGAGTACCAGGTGGCCCTAATCCAACAGGACAGGACAGTGCCTTCCAAGGAGTGGAGAGAGGCCACAGGGGGAGGAGTCCACGGCAGGGAGGAGAGGCTGGAGGGAGAGGCCTGCCAGCACTGCCCCCCCGCCCCTCCCCCCTCAGGGCCTGGGAGCAAACAGGCCTGCTGTGTGCGCCCGCCCAGCTGCAGGAGCCTGGCCCACGAAGAACCACGCAGGAACCTTAATGAAACTCTGCATCAGGGCGGCATCTGCCTCTACTTTCGTTCTGCTTCCCTCTGTGCTGAGTCGGACTCATCGGCAGTAAGTGGACTGGCTGCACACGTGCCGTCCTCATCCAGAGTCTGAGTGACAGGAAACGACGAGAAGCAAGCAGGGATCTTCCACCGGTGGCGGCTCCTTCCACGTACGCACTGGCCACCGGAGCGCAGAGAGGACACTCCACGGGCCACTGCCATTCGCCCGGACAGACAGGCTGCCGAGAGCCCGCTCTGTCGGAGGTCAAAGCCACGGGCTGCACGCACCACAGGTGAAACTCCCGAGCCTCCAGGGACGTGCGTCAATTCTTCACGCAGCGCCTCTTCCCTGTCACTTCACCTGCTTACTGAAGTCTATTTTAATTCAAAACATCCCAAGACACTGAAGCAAGAAACTGACTGAGCAGGGGAAGTGACGTGCGCCACAGAAGGGTATAAAGAGAACGTGGCATTTTCAGAAAGAGCCCACAGGAAAGGCAGGATGGGAGAGAGTGCAAGCGGCAGCCGGGAGTGGGGGGTCCTGGTGACACCTATCCTGGGCCCCCCGCACTGACGTCAGGCTGAGGAACAGCCTGAGGGAGGGCAAGGAGGGAGGAACACCCGCCTGGAAAGACGGCTGCTAGGGAGGCCTGGGTGGGCCGGGACAGGAGTGGGGCCTGGTGCCTCCAGAATACGGCGCTGGGCGGGGAAGTGCCTGACCCGTGTTGCTGGGGCAGACCTAGCACAGCAGGGCAGACCCTAGCACAGCAGGGCCCCGCCACACGCGCAGGGAGAGCACACGGCACCACCCAGGCCTCTCCAGGGAACAGAGCAGGGCATGTCGTCCTGCAGCTCGTCAGGCACACGCAGGCCACAGAGCCACCCGGGCTGAAGGCCCATCAGCTTAGGCACCTCGAGGACAAACCTACCGTGCTCAGGTTATCTGAAGAGTAAAGTGGATGGGCTAAAGGACTTCTCAAGTTATCGTGGGATCTTCGTGTTCTCAGAAAAAGACCCAAGACCCCCAGTTACTCTTTGCCAACATTCCCAGGTCACTACTAAATGGTAGAACCCTACCACACCCTCAGCTAAGCATCTTCCAGGGCTCTGAATGTTTAAGGCTGGTCTTCAACTATTTCATAAAACTGTGATTTTGATGTTTTGAGAATACAGCCTGTCTTGGGTTGAGAAGGTCAAGGAAAAGAAGAGAAAGGATCCTAGTAAAATGGAAATGAAGGAAAACTGAGATGGGAACAGTGGGTGTAAGTTGTCTTTTTACTTTGAAAGGTGTCTTGACTTCTGATTCCTTTAGAATTCCAAAACAGTACAGAATCTGTTCATGAATATTCTTTGCTCCACAGAAACTTACCCTCCTGGAACTGCTGCTCATGGAGCTAAAGCACCTTTTCAAAGAAGACTATCATTTATAATTCTTTTTTTTTTTTTTTTAGAGAGAGTAGAAGGGAGGGAAGAGAGAAGGAGAGAAGCATCAATGTGAGAGAGACACATCAATTAGTTGCCTCCTGCAAGCGCCCCAACCAGGGCCTGGAATTGAGCCTGCAACACAGGCCCGGGCCCCTGACCAGGAATCAAACCATGACCCCCTGGTTCATGGTTACCACTCAACCACTGACCCACACAGGCTGGGCCATAATCACTTTTATTATTTCTTTCTTAAGGTAACTGTCTATCAAATTCTATGCTGTTAAATTTTCCTATTTGTCTGATTTCTGTACATTTGCATTTTTGCTATTTAATAAAACTATCTAGATAGTCAGACATGTATACAAATACACACCATTAAAAATCTGAAATAAAATTACTTCAATTTAGTAAAAGCTATTAAACTCATAAAAATAACCCCCAACCTATACATTTATACTAAGTGTATATTTAATTTTTAAGTCTAAAATTTTTATAAGCTAGATATACATTTTTTAAAAAGCATGGGAGAAGCGTTACCTGAGAGAAGTAACAGCCGTACAAGGGAAGCCACTTCAGGCCGTCCTTCAGCACGTAGCGCACGTGCCCCAGGGCGCCCTGCCGGATGGCCAGGATGTCCGCCACGATCCAGTCCACTGTGGAGACAGGCCATCAGTGCGCCAGCCACAGGCGCCAGCACCCCTCCCACAGCCGGAGCGCCCCTCACCACATTCTCTAAGGAATTTGCTTGGAAAATGTTAAGACTCAAATTCTAATATTACTTTAAACCAACAGGAGACATTAAAAAATATATAAATTCTGTATTTTCTAATTTTTTTAAAAAATATATTTTATTGATTTTTTTACAGAGAGGAAGGGAGAGGGATAGAGAGTTAGAAACATCGATGAGAGAGAAACATTGATCAGCTGCCTCCTGCACACCTCCTACTGGGGATGTGCCCGCAACCCAGGTACATGCCCTTGACCGGAATCGAACCTGGGACCCTTCAGTCCGCAGGCCGACGCTCTATCCACTGAGCAAAACCGGTTAGGGCATGTATTTTCTAATTTTTGTTGTTTAGGGTTTTTTGTTCTTTGTATTTTTGTTAACCCTCACCCAAGAGTATTTTCCATTGATTTTTAGAGAGTGGAAGGGAGCAGAAGAGACAGAGAGAGAGAGAGAGACACAACGACTGGTTGCCTCCCGCACATGCCCTGACTGGGGCTGGAGATCAAGCCCATTGAGGTACATGCACTTGACTGAGATCAAACTCGGGACCCTTCAGTCTGTGGGCCAATGCTCTATCCACTGAGCCAAACCGCTAGCGTTAGAGTTTTTGTTTTGTATTTCTTGAAAGGCTTTTATTTCATGAACAAAATGCAGAGGTTACAAACCACCAAAGCAACCCAAAAGCAGAGATAAAGTAAGCTTCTCTAATTCTGAGTCTAGAAATTTGACAAAATGATAAGCAAAAACACGGTTCAGTGAAACTGCCCGGTGCCCCTGAGAATTCCGTATACGCTAAGACGGTCAACAAAGGCCGGGACACTGCGCCAGGGAGCTGCAGGCCAACACCGGGTTACAGGCGCATCCAAACCAAGGACCCCAGCGCGTACAACTGTGCCGACAGCTGCACAAAACCCAGCACACTCGCCCAGGCTGCTGACAGCTCTCACTAAGGGTGCGAAAGCAAAGTAAGAGGCAGGAGCGAGTTTATGCCAACAAAAACTTGCAGGAAGAAAGAAACTGCTAATTGATCTTTCACAGAAATCCTGAGCATGGACTCGCCTGTGGCAGGGATGAGGGATGAGGGATGAGGGATGAGGGATGAGCAGTGGGCAGTGGTGGGAAAAGGACTGAGGAGAGAAAATTACAGAAAGAGGCCAAGTGTGAAGGTCAAGACCCCCAGGTCTGGACTTGAAAGTAGTGGCTACAAACTGCCGTCTCCTGAGCCTGAAAACGATAACCCACGCGAGGGAGACGTCTCGCGTGTACGAATGAACTTGGAAAGAGCTGGCGAGCTCTGCAGAAGGAATCGGGTCCTGGGAGAGTGCACAAAGCAGCTAATTAGAGGGGGAACGTTTTAAAACACACAAAGCAAAAGGCTGTAGGAAAGAAAAGCCAGTCAGTCAGGGAGTTACCAGAAAGTTCTATCCAAAGGGCCGTCCCCATCGTTACAGGGGACTCTCCACCGTGCAGGCCGCAGGCAACGCCCTTCCCGACAGAGCAGTTCAGATAGCACTTCGCTGGCTGGAACACTAAAGTTGTCTTTTTGGAAAAATATTCTATCAATTATTATAAATCTCTCTCTTTTTTAAAAAATATATTTTTATTGATTTCAGAGAGGAAGGGAGAGGGAGAGATAGAAACATCAATGTTGAGAGAATCATCGATTGGCTGCCTCCTGCACGCCCCTTACTGGGGATCTAGCCCGAAACCTGGGCATGTGCCCTTGACCGGAATCCAACCAGGGACCCTTCAGTCCGCAGGCGGACGCTCTATCCACTGAGCCTGGCTAGGGCTATAAATCTCTTTAAATCTTCCTTTAACATTTGCAAGTAACTCTTCCACAGTGAGTGAAGAATCACAATTATATGTGTAAGTCTGATTATAGTTCCCTTAAGTGTGACCCGGCTCTGTGTCGGTGGGACACCTACGCTGCAGAACTACCTGGTGTCACCTCTCTACAGCACGCAACTCCTGTCCCTCCCTCTCACTCACACCAAGGAAAGTCCCGGATAAACACTGTGCTTGTTCTGACTGTGCCTGGTGTGCACCCGCTGAGCGAGCCGTGAGAACTGAGTGAGGGTTTGCAGGCTGAAGTGCAACCTGGAAGCTCGCAGGGAACAGGCCGAAAACAAGGCTCGGCATCTTTTCTTACAACAACTCCTTCCAAAGTCAGGGGAGTGGCTATCGTGCGTTTTTATACTGAAACCTGCGTGGCTACATTATGGTCCAGGACGCATCTTCCAAGCACTGGAGAGACGGTGTGCAATTTTAAACACACATCATGTTTGTAGAGAACTCTTCTGGATTATGTGCTTCATCTTTTGAAAATGTTAGTGGAAAAATTCAAGAACTAATTTAAGTAGTCACAAGACACAAGCTTCATGCCATCAATTTTTTGTTTTTTAATCCTCATCGGAGGATATGTTTTCATTGCATTTTAGAGAGCGAGGAAGGGAGAGCGAAACGCAGATTTTGGTGCATGGGATGCTCCAATTAACTGAGCCACACCGACCAGGGCTGTGCCATCAATTCTTGTTCCTCCAATATCTTTTTCACCTTTTTTGTTTATTCTCAATGAGGTTTCAGGAAGGAGGCACTAGACAAAGCTGAGTTATGACAGCTGAGAAGGTAACACATTCCCTTTACAGTCAGTCATGTGCACCCGAGCTCTGACAACATGTAATCAAAACATCAGAAATGTGACCACACGAGAATTCTTCCATGTGACCCAGTCACAGCTGCACCACTGTTTCCCTGAACCTGAGGCCAGCGAGGAGAGGCCGCAGGAAAAGCAAGGGTTCCTGGCGTAGCCACTGTGGCTCAGACGGTCGGTGCTGTCCTGCACACCAAAAGGAGGCTGGGCTGATTCCCGGTCTGGGCACCAGTGTTTCTCTCTCCCTTCCTCTCTAAAAATCAACAAAAACATATATATGTCTGTTTAAAAAGCAAGGTTTCCTCATGTACATTCTGATGTAACGACAGTTCCTAATTTACACAAGCGCTGCAGAGTCCACGCGGCTACACAGGGCGTACTTGCCCGGCTCGGACCCAGCACTGCGCTCATGGTCAATCACCACCACCACCATCATCATCACTATCACCATCATCATCGCTATCATTGCCATCACCACCACCACCATCATCATCGCTCCTGCTGGGAAGTGCCCACGAGCAGGCACGCTGTGAGATTAGGAGCCAGCTACGTAGGTATTACCTGGACCTGACCAATACAGCTCAGAGAGGCAGGGAGCTGCCCACCGTCACACACCCGACTGCAGAACGGCACAGGGGCCAGGGTCTCTCTGACCCCAAAGCCCACGCCTTCTTATGACCATCTACTCACCATACATGTTGTCAGTCAAGAAAAATGTCACCTAAACCAAGAAAGGGGAGCATGTCATGAGATCAACAGGGTCCGTCAGTCAGACAGTAAAGAAGGCGGAGAGGAAGGCTTGCAGCCACTCTGCCCTGCTGACCCTGGAGAGGAGTGAGGTGGCAGAGACACGAGGGAGGAGGGAGCTCGCGGGCACTGAACCCTCTGCAAGGCCTGCCAGGAAGCCCCGTGAACCACCGGCCTGCAGGTGAGCCACAGAGTCCAGGCTACACAGCAGTCCTGGGACTTACCTTTCTGCTACTTCAGTTTTAGATACTCAGCTGTGACTCTGAATATCTCAAGACGGTTTTAAAAAGACGCCTTTTTAGACCCACCGGCCAATGGCCCAGTCCACAGAAAAGCAGGAGGGGCCTGGGGAACCTAAGACCCCATGCAAATGTTTATGTGCCCTTTTTTTTCTGGGAAAAGGTTTTCAAATCTTCTATCACACAGGGTGAGGCAAAAGTAGGTTTACAGTTGTTAACATGGGAAAGAACACAATCTATAATAATAAAAGCGTAACATGCTAATTAGACCGGACATCCTCCTGGACAAAGCCAGGGCTGCGAGGGAAGCCCGGGTCCCGGGTGCCAGAAGGAAGCTGGTGCCAGCAGCCGGGGGAAGGAAGGCCCGACTTGAATGAATTCACTTGCATGAATTTCGTGCATCGGGACCTCTAGTAAGTAATAATACAACAACCAACCGGGTCTGGTGTACTCACAACTGCAAGCCTATTTTGCCCCACCCTGTATTCTGACTGAGGCCTGTAATTCTAAAGTAATTTAAAATCACTACTTAGTTTTGTCCCTAAGTTACGGTTTTTTAAAAAGGCCTTTAAAAAAGATCCTTCTCAACTCTGATGGCGAGTGGTGCAGGCCTGGCCCCAAAAGGCAGCCTGGAGGAAGGTGAGGGGTGGGGCGGGTGTGCTGTGAGGTGACTGCACTCAAACTGCCCACCACACCTTCCAGTTCCAAACACAGGAAGTAGTTTAAAAATCTGCTTTCTTCCAAACGCCTCCCAGAAGCCCCCCCTCTAAAATGAAGTATCCACAGGGCACGTAGTCAGCGCCCAGATACGGCACAGACACGGCAGCGACTGTCATGTGACCATCGTCATCATCACCGCCACCGTCCGGTGCTCAGCGACCACTCCACGCCAGCGCCACGGCCACGGCCCCTTACACAGCAGTCCCCTCCACACGTGGAACAAGGGAAGGAGCAGGGAACTTGAACGAGGCACTTTAAGAGAGAACCCTGTTGAACAGAGAAACAGCTCCATAAACGACATGAGCCACTAGCTCAACTGGAGGAAATCTGGGCTGTCACGGCGGCCCTGACCCCACGATCCGTCCTATTCAGTTCATGGAGCTCTGGTAGAAACAGTTTCTGCTACTTCAGTTTTAGATACTCAGCTGTGACTCTGAATATCTCAAGACGGTTTTAAAAAGACGCCTTTTTAGACCCACCGGCCAATGGCCCAGTCCACAGAAAAGCAGGAGGGGCCTGGGGAACCTAAGACCCCATGCAAATGTTTATGTGCCCTTTTTTTTCTGGGAAAAGGTTTTCAAATCTTCTATCACACAGGGTGAGGCAAAAGTAGGTTTACAGTTGTTAACATGGGAAAGAACACAATCTATAATAATAAAAGCGTAACATGCTAATTAGACCGGACATCCTCCTGGACAAAGCCAGGGCTGCGAGGGAAGCCCGGGTCCCGGGTGCCAGAAGGAAGCTGGTGCCAGCAGCCGGGGGAAGGAAGGCCCGACTTGAATGAATTCACTTGCATGAATTTCGTGCATCGGGGCCTCTAGTAAGTAATAATACAACAACCAACCGGGTCTGGTGTACTCACAACTGCAAGCCTATTTTGCCCCACCCTGTATTCTGACTGAGGCCTGTAATTCTAAAGTAATTTAAAATCACTACTTAGTTTTGTCCCTAAGTTACGGTTTTTTAAAAAGGCCTTTAAAAAAGATCCTTCTCAACTCTGATGGCGAGTGGTGCAGGCCTGGCCCCAAAAGGCAGCCTGGAGGAAGGTGAGGGGTGGGGCGGGTGTGCTGTGAGGTGACTGCACTCAAACTGCCCACCACACCTTCCAGTTCCAAACACAGGAAGTAGTTTAAAAATCTGCTTTCTTCCAAACGCCTCCCAGAAGCCCCCCCGCTAAAATGAAGTATCCGCAGGGCACGTAGTCAGCGCACAGATACGGCACAGACACGGCAGCGGCTGTCATGTGACCATCGTCATCATCACCGCCACCGTCCGGTGCTCAGCGACCACTCCACGCCAGCGCCACGGCCACGGCCCCTTACACAGCAGTCCCCTCCACACGTGGAACAAGGGAAGGAGCAGGGAACTTGAACGAGGCACTTTAAGAGAGAACCCTGTTGAACAGAGAAACAGCTCCATAAACGACATGAGCCACTAGCTCAACTGGAGGAAATCTGGGCTGTCACGGCGGCCCTGACCCCACGATCCGTCCTATTCAGTTCATGGAGCTCTGGTAGAAACAGGCACCAGCAACAGGCCCGGGAGGGAAAGACTGTTGGAGGAAAGAGCCCAGTTTTGTCTGGAGAAACAGTCAAATACAGGACAAAGCAAGGTTCCTTTTTAGGCCAGAGTGAGCAGCAGACCCTGACCGCAGGGCGGGGTGCTTAAGTCAAATGTAATGAAATCGAACAATCTGAGCCAGTCGCGTTGATAGCGTTCACTGAATACACAGAGACATTAAAACTCCTGTTGCCAGGCGGGCATGGCTCCGTGGTTGAGCGCCAACCTATGAACCTGGAGGTCACGGTTCGATTCCGGTCAGGGCACATGCTCATCCCCAGTGTGGGGTGTGCAGGAGGCAGCCGATCCATGATTCTCTCTCATCACTGATACTTCTGTCTCTCTTTCCCTCTCCCTTCCTCTCTGAAATCAATAAAAATATATATTTAAAAAAATACAAAATCTCCTGTGAACACTTGGTAGTGTCAACGCTTGTCCTATAAAACTGAGTGTAATCACTAATAAGCTAAATTGAGGACAATACATTTCAACTTCTTTCCCTCTCTTTGCCGTATCTATGGCGAGGGAGGAGTAAAAGCACTAAGTCGTGAAGAGGCGCAGTGGGTGGGGGAAGGTGCGGGCAGCCGGCACACAGGCCTTCGGTTCAGGCCTTATCAACGGCCGGCTTGCTTTTCGCTTTAGCTCCCGAGCACTAGGTTTCGCAGAGTAAAGATGAAACGCAGGAAGTGCGCCTCGAAGGCAGGCACAGGCCTGAAGGAAACTGGAAGCGGGTGCTTCTGAGCGGAGCTATTTGGAGAACTGAGGACGGTAGCCAAGGTGCATGTGTTGCTTTGGGTGCTGTACCCAGCTGATAAGATGTCACCACTGGGGGAGGAGGTCATGCAATCCTTGCCACTATTTTTTATCATCCTTGTAACTCCATAACTACTGCAGAATGAAAGTTTAAAGTGTCTAATTGAAAGTCTACGCTGTGCTTCGCTGAAGACCCAGTCTTCGGAGGCCTCTGTCGGAGTAACCAGCTGTGGTTAAACCTACACTGGAGAGGCAGAAGGAACCGCGCCCGTTAGACACGAACGTCGTGCTGAGGACATGTGGCCTCACATACTGAACCCCTTTCTGCAGCTCAACCATCAAAACATAAAACGCACACACCCCGCGACCCACCAGCCCCCTTCCAGACACATCACCTCCAGAAGGAAGACGCACAGACATTGGGGTACTGTTCAAAGAAGTGGGGGAAAGAGAAAACAGCTATGTACACTCATCAGAGGGAGAGGCAAGACGAGGGAAATTCATAGTAAAACCACAAATAACAAGGTCACATATACATCTGCATTAAAAAGTCATGTTTTAACAATAACAAAAAATTTTCATTTAAGTATACAAGAACATTACTCTGAATGTCCATATATTTTCTGTAGAAAAACCTAAGATTCATGCAAATGAAGTACAAACCTGTGCATTGATGATTTGCTAAATATATTATATTTTCTTTGTTTTTTGGCAAATCTCCATATAGCAATATCTACAAGATAAAACAAAAAGAAGCATTACTTTGAGATGTTAAGCATGTAGTTATGTAACATACCAAATGGGACCATGCCAACAACTGACAAACACATGATGTCATGACTATTTCCAATCACGATGAACAAGAATCAGATTTCTCCTGGAGTCTCCGAGGGCAGAGATGGCACGTGTTTGAAGTAGTCAAGAGTGGGACAGATTAATGGTCATAAAGTGAAAGAAACACGATTTCTTGTGAGCAAAATACAGCAACATGTGCCGACTGGACGTGTGCGGACACGGCTCACGAGGCACCTTCCTTCCCAGCGCCTCCCTCTCGGAGGAGGGGTGTGCAGTGCGTGGAGGAGACTTGCACGTGCTACGGAAGCGCCGTGTGCGTTAAGAGCGGTGCACTCAGAACAGCGGTGTCCGGGACGGGCGAGTTTCAGATGAGAGGAAGGTGAATGTTCAGGAAAAGATGAGGCTTTTGACCCCCCTGCGTGTCAGGCCTTTTGGTTTTCACCTCTTTCCTGTGAGGCCCAGGGCACATGAAAATGTTCACAGCAGTGAAATGTGTAGGACTGCCCTGTGCTCACCTGGCTCCCGTCCGCGTGGTGTGCAGGCCCCAGTGGCAAACCTGAGGGTGGAGGAAAGGGCTTCCTCCCTGCCCTGCACCAGTCACAGGGCACAGCTCCCAACACTCTATTGGAACTTTCCTATTTCCTTTCCCACGGGCACCTGCCTCGGGGTGGGCAGA